GCCCCGCCCCTCCGGAAGATGTTCCCGATTGCGCGTCGAGCGACACACCGCCGTCGTTTCCGGGATCGGCGCTGCGACGCACAGTGGGCCAGAAGACCGGTGGAGGCGGCCAAAACTCTAGACGCGTCTTGAGCTCCAGAGTCGCTGAGCAGGCCTCGAACTGACCCTGTGACCCCACCAATGGATTCCTCGTTCGGAGAGCAATCCAATGGTGGGGTCACACGATCGGTTCGAGTCCCATTTAGCGACTCTGGAGCTCAAAACGCGTCTTGAATTCTGGCCGCCTCCTCTCCACCGGTCTTCTGGCCCACTGTGCGACGCGCTGCGACAACAACGAGGCAGCCACCGCGATGATCACTCCGGGACGACTTTCCGGGCAGCAGGGGGCGTGTGTGCCCCGCGTGCGCGTCGCGTGCCGCGGCAGTGGCGGGGTGGCGCGTGGCCGCGACCCCTCGCACCCCGCACGCACGCGCGCGTGTTGTGCACACTCCATCAGCAGGAGCAGCCTAATGCTCGCAACACGGCGGGACGACGAGGCTCACTCTTCGTCGTGTAGCCTTTCGACGCCACGCCCCGCGCCGCGGCGCGACGCGCCATGTTTCGGACCGAAATAGCACACGCAGCCCCGGCTAAGCTGATTGGTCGGGCTGCTCCTTCAACCCGTCTTTTGAGTGTGTGTGAGTGTGTGTGTGTGTGAGGGGCCCAGTGAAGGGGCCCGCGACGGCATAGGCGGGGCGGGGCCCTCACATAGGCGGCCAGCCACGGCCGAGGGGGAAATCACTCGCGTAATAGTCGGGTCACCCATTCCCACTATTACGCGTAATAGTAATAGCGTAATAGCCAAGTTTTTAAAAATTTTCCCTATTTAGAGTCTGATTTTAGCCTAAATCTGGATATTTTCGAGCGTAATAAGCCTTCTGTAATAGCGTAATAGAACGTAATAGGGAGTAGTCGGGTCACAGTTTTAAAGAGTGATTTCCCCCTCGGCCACGGCCTGCCGCGTGCATGGACCACATCAACAAAGGCATCACACTGCTGCCACGCCCCCGCACCGAGTTTTCCAGCCAGAGTCACACACACACACACACACGCACGCACACACACACACACACACACACACAGAGCCAGTGATTCCGGATCTTGTAATAAGGACGGATGATGGGGGCGCGCGTCTGGCCGGCCGCCGCGTGCATCGCTTATCGCCGCGTGCCGCTATCTTGGCCGCGCGCACGCCACTGTGTTTGTGTGTGTGTGTGTGTGTGTGTGTGTGTGTGTGTTTGGCCCCGGGATTGTCACCAGGCGCGCGCGGCCCCTGCGGTGGCGCACGCGGCGCAGATAAAAGTGTACATAGAATGACGCGCGGTGTTTCAATTTCCAAAAAATAAATATGAGAATTTTAAGAAAGTAGTTTTACGAAGTTTTGATGTACCTGAATGTTGTGGCGTGTTCTCCTATACGGTCTTCCCTGCAGACTGGTGCGTGCATGTACGAGCAAGCGGCCAATGCACAGCCAGCACGAATGGCAATGTATGGCAGTGTCGGCATGTTGGAAGGCATCGGTGGTCCGCGTATGGTCCGGCTATTTGCTGGGCACACACTGCCCGCACTATGGCCCGGGGCGCCGAGGAGCGTCCTGGAGCGTCCCGACACCCAACACACACACACACACACACACACACACACACACACACACACACACACACACACACACACACACAGCGGGCACAGCACAGGGGTTGCTTCGCAGCAGGTAGGTGTAGCATGGAAGCTAGGCCTTGGCGGAGGTCAATCGAAGGGATGTATTGGCGTTATGTCGTGAGCGCGTCTGCACGTCGGCTTGCTTGTGGGAAAGTGGGGAGAGAGGAAGGAACATTATGGATCCTCCTCCTGACGCACGATCAAAGGCTCCTGCACTGCATATGCTGCGGCGGATTGAGAATTGAGACGGGCCTGGCCCTCCCTCCGCCGCCCTTACCTCTCTGCCGTCCATTTTTGGGGCAGAAGGCCAGGTACAAACCCGCTGGAACCCTGCCGTGCCCCACCACCACTATACCACCACCACCACCACCACCACCACCACCACCACCACCACCACCACCACCACACCACCACCACCACACCACGACCACCACGACCACCACGACCACCACGACCACCACGACCACACGACCACCACAACCACCACGACTACCACGACCACCACGACTACCACGACCACCACGCGACCACCACGACCACCACACGACCACCACGACCACTACGACCACCACGACCACCACGACCACCACTACCCTGCCACCGCCAACAACAACAAAATAAGCCCGCAAAACAAGAAAGATTGTCCGCGCTGACCATAAAGCCACCCCTAAAAAAAAGCAACAACAAGAGAGGCAAACGCGTTACATATTTCTTTTGGCGCGGGGACGCGGGGACACCACTCGTTGATCCTAGCCAAGTCGGTCCAGCGCGCCGTTGTGCGGGGCGGGGCGGGGCGGGGCGGCTAGGCTCGGCCGGGTGCTCGCCCCGCAGATCCCGGACTAAGCCCGGCGGATTTGGCCGCGATCACACCCCCACCCCTAACCCCGGCCACCCGCGGGCACCCCCGGGCAGGCAAGCCCGGCCCAGGCCATCCGAAGCCCATTTACCTCTCGTCCGGGAAACACTTACCCGCGCGAGGAGTATTATGTTATTTGCGGGGCTTCGGGAGGCTTCCGCTGAGCACTGGCCGGGGATGGCGGGGATGGCGCCACGGAGTCAAATTGAATAAATTGGCGGTCTGTTGTCGTCGGCGGTGGGTGTGGTCGTGCGATGCTTTCTTTTGTGCGTCGCTTTTTTTTTTCCGCGAAGTGCCCCGAGACGGATTCGTCATCTTCGACCGCGCGTCGTTCGATTTGGATCAGCTATTCTTTCCCCGCCGTTATCAGCACCAATAACCTGGGCGTATTGAAGACTGCCATATTTACTATCGGGAGGGGCGGCGCGCCCCGGCCCTTCCAGTGGCCCTCCCCACGCACGGCCCGCACGCACACGGCCAGAGAGAGAGAGAGAGAGAGAGAGAGAGAGAGAGAGAGAGAGAGAGAGAGAGAGAGAGAGAGAGAGAGAGAGAGAAAGAACGAGGAGCACTGTTAAAAATGAATGGGAGGACCCCGCAGGTCTACCACAGGTCGTGGCGTTTACGCATCTATTTTTTTATGTATTCCAAAACACATCTTATCCAAGGCAAACAATTTTTCGGCACACGAAAAGTGAACGTCCAAATATTCCTTCTTCCATTTTGCCTGGCAGTGCCTCTTCCCTTCCCTCCCTTCTTCCTCTCTAACGTCTTCACTTGGGTCCGAGGCGGCCGCGCGGCCGGGCCACAGGCCGGGCTCCACCAGGGCTAGCGCCTTGCTAGCGCCCGATAACATTTTCCCTTCAATACGCTGAATGAATGTCTTGCCCAGGCCTATATATGGGGTCGTTGTGAGGTCCTATCCGGCGCCACCGCGACTTGGCGGGAAAAATTGTTTGCCCGGCCGAGCCTGGGCCGGAAGACCGAGCAGGCGGCCAAAATTCAAGACGCGTTTCGAGCTCCACAGTCGCTGAATGGGGTTCGATCCGAAGTGTGACCCCACCAATGGATTGCTCTCCGAACGAGGAATCCATCGGTGGGGTCACACGTTCGGTTCGAGTCCCATCAAGCGACTCTGGAGCTCAAAACGCGTCTGGAGTTTTGGCCGCCTCCGGTCTTCTGGCCCACTGTGCGCCGAGCCTCGCAAATAAAACACCCGGCAAAAAATGGAAGGCTTTGGTAGCAGTGCACACACTTGCAGTGCGGCAGACTCGCCCCTAGGCTGCGCGCCCGTTTGGTGTTTATACATCCATCTATACTTGGCGAAGCGGACAACGGCGACCCAATTCCGTTCTGGCAAGACTACAGTACCGACAACACAACTCTCTCTCTCACTCTGTCTTGCACAAACACAGACGCACTCCACATACACACTGCAGCCCCTAAATCGCAGAGAAGACGCATGTGTGTGTGTGTGTGTGCTTCTTGTTCATGCATATTAAAGCAGTGGTATACGCCTTTGCCTCGCGAGACAGTGTGCGTGCATGTGTGTGCGTGAGTGTGCGTGTCCCCCTGTAAGCTGCCCACATTTCTACATACATGTACAAAACAATTCCCCCGTACGCGCAGCGACCCCGCTGGCCAGGGGGTTCTTTGTCGTGATACATTGACTGGGATTAGGGGGATCTTGCGGGGTGTTAGAGACGGCTGGTGTGTGTCTCCCTCTCTGTGTCTCCCTCTCTCTCTCTCTCTGTGTGTGTGTGTGTGTGTGTGTGTGTGTGTGTGTGTGTGTGTGTGTGTGTGTGTGTGTGTGTGTGTGTGTGTGTGTCCGCGAGGCGCCGCCACCGTCTGTTTTACTTGTGGCCCGGCGTGTTTTCGGGGGTAGTTTTGAGGGGCTGACCGTCGTGCGTCCTCGGGAGGGACGGTCGCGTAGAGCGTGCAGGGGAGGCTGTGGGAGGGTGGTGTGCGGTGGAGTACGCGAAGCTCGGAGCGGGGCTATGGCGAGAAAAGTGGAAAACGGGGCAGGCCAATGGTGTTCCCGCCCCGCCCCGCCCCGCCCGCGCCCGCCCCGCCCCGCCCCGCCCCACCCCGCCCCACCCCGCCCCGGAGGGGTCGTCCAAACGACGACGTTGAAGTGCGTCGGTGGCGGATAGAAAACGCAAATTCCCGCCCCCAATTGATAATAATAATACTGTAATAACAAACAGTAACAAGAACTCATCGGCGATTGAATCGGCGGTCGCGGAGCACGGTGCCGCCACCCTCGGCCTCCCCGTCGTCGCGGACGTCGTCGATGTCGTGGGAAGCCCGCGATAGTAATTAGAATAATATCAAGAGGCAAAACTGTTTGGCCGGGCCGTCTCGGGTTGCACGTTGCACAATCGCGGAGCGTGGCGGGGCGTGGCGGGTGCGGCGGGGTGCGGCGGGGTGCGGCGGGTCGGCGGGGTGCGGCGGGGTGCGGCGGGGTGCGGCGGGGTGCGGCGGGGTGGGGTGGGGTGGGGCGGGGCGGGGCGGGGCGGCGTTCGCGGTCGGGGAGCAAATGGTCGCCGGCCGCCACGTGTGCCCCGCGACTCCAATTAGTGCACGGCCCGAGGCGGACTGGCGGACGGCGGACTCGGAGGAGGCGACGAGCGGGGAGCGGCTTTGGCCAAGGCTTTGGCGCGGAGGCGGCGGCACAGAAATATATTCCCAGGGGAATACGGATTTCGCGGAAAAATATGAAAAATGCGGCGGCCCTCGGTCGGTCCCTTTGGTGTACGCAGGACACAGTGTACGGACCGGCGGCGTCTGATTTGTCCTGACGGCGTGCGCAGCCTGCCTTGTGTGTTCGAACTGACCATGGCGTCCTAGGGGACTGCGCAGACTTTGAGTGTGTGTGTGTGTGTGTGTGTGTGTGTGTGTTGTGTGTGCGTGCGTGCGTGCGTGCGTGCGCGCGCGGGGCCCTGGCCGGCCCTAGCCGCGCTGCCTGCCTCCCTCGGAGGGGCGCGTCGTCGCGGGGCGTCTCCATGGCAACGCCCCGCCCCGCCCGCCCTGCACGCCCGGCCCCAGCCCCAAGCCGAGCGGGCGCTGAAATAGCCGTAGGACGGCCAGGACGCCAGGACCCTCGAGGCGTGTGGGGCGACTGAGCCAAGACGCCGTGTGTGTGCGTGCGCGTGTGTGCGTGCGTGTGTGTGTGCGTGCGTCTGTGTGCGGCGCATCGTTCATTGGCTGACGGCACGCGCGGCGGCCAGCAGGGGCGGCTTGACACGCACAAAAACAACAACAACATCACTCGCGATGGCGCGTGCACGCTGCAGCCAACCCCGGCTCCTTGTTGTTGTTGTTGTTGGGATGATAGAATTGAAAAACAGCAAGTCGCTCACTCACCTGTTTGCTGGCGCTGTCTATGAGTCTAACGTAGATATCCTGTTCTTGCCGCAGTCCTGGAAAAAAAAAGAAAGAGACGGAGAGAATATCGCGTGTTAATTTTGCAGGGGGCACGTGTACGACACTCCAGGGGCGCGCGACTCACCATTTGAATATAATAACTGTAACCTATATAGAATGCCGTTGTTTGTCTTCTGGCCGTCCGCCTCCTGTTGGGGTCAGAAAGGAAAACAAGCACTTTAGACCAATTTGACTGTCGCGTTCGCGTTCTCCCCGTTTTCCCGCGTCGAATTTGAAAACGCGCGTCTGTTCTCGCGTGCTGCATTGCTGGCGTGCGCAGCCCTTTGTTGACTCGGCAAACACGTTGCAGTGGCGGCCAGCCACGCGGCCAGCGCGCGCTGTCTCCCTCGCACCTTGACGGAGCACGTCGTGGGTGCGAGAGAGACGGAGCGACGATTCGGCCCGGCAGCCACCTGGACGCCTCGATAAGCGCCAATTGGTGTAGTTTCATGTAGCATGTGTCAAATTACGGGCCGTTGGAGACAAGGGCGTCTGCCGCACGACATTTACGTAGTAGGCTGACTCCGAACGGCCCACAGTGGGCCAGAAGACCGGTGGAGGCGGCCAAAACTCTAGACGCGTTTTGAGCTCCAGAGTCGCTAAAGAGAACTCGAACCGAACGTGTGACCCCACCAATGGATTGCTCTCCGAACGAGGAACCCATTGGTGGGGTCACACGTTCGGTTCGAGTCCTATTTAGCGACTCTGGAGCTCGAAACGCCTCTAGAGTTTTGGCCGCCTCCACCGGTCTTCTGGCCCACTGTGCGGCCTCTGTCGCACTTACGGGGCGTTCCGCAGAGAGAGAGAGAGAGAGAGAGAGAGAGAGAGAGAGAGAGAGAGAGAGAGAGAGAGAGAGAGAGAGAGAGAGAGAGAGAGAGTCAAAACAGCAGATAAACAGTTACCATGTGGTCCTTCTCGATGAAGCCCAGGAAGGCCGTCCGTTCGATCTCGACGGGCTGCCCCGTCCGGTCGTACAGGGCGATAACGAAGTGGAAGAAGTTGGACTTTCTCAGGTTGCTGGGCGGCTGCTTCTCGAAGTGCGCCCGACTCAGCCCCAGGCTGCAACAGCCACAACAAAACAAAAATATTGCAATAACTGTGTATGGCTGACCCGTTGCGCGGTTGCAGGGTTAGTGGTCGTTTTAAATTTCGGAGCGATTCGCGCTGAAGATATAAAGAAGTGCCGGGGTGGGTCTCTGAATTATCAAGTGCCCCAAAAGTGCCCGATGATTTACTCCAGGGGATTGATTTTTGCTCTCCGGTCTCGGTGGATTTAATAATGCATGGACCCATTAGTGCCCCTTCCTTCAATTGAAAGAAAAAAAAAACAACAGCAAAAACTCTTTTAAAAGACCAACAATTACCAATTCGCAAGGAAATTAAAAAAAATAAACAACAAACACAAACAAAAAACAAACAAATTAATTTGTTGACTTAGCTTGAATGACATGAATTATTGATATGACGTTTAAACAGAGAGAAGGTAGTTTGCCGAAAACTAAATCTGAAAATTTTAACAGTGGAGGCGAGGTGTCGGCCGGGCAGGATGAAGGGGTGCGGGCACGAGGTGTGAAACGAAGGGCGGGGCGCGGGGCTGGCGTAACTGCGGGGCTCCTGACTTCTCAAAGAAACTTAATTAGGAACCGGAACGTCTTCAGCAGCCCCTCCGCTGCGTCCCTCCCCCCCCTCACCGCCTCAGCCTGCTCCAAACCAAAACAAAGCCACCCCCCCCTCCCCACCTCTTTTCTCCCTCTTACTATCTATTCCTACTCCAAAACATGCCGTTCTTTTCCTGTCGGAAAAATTGAAACGAAACACCGGTATTCGAACGCGTGACCCTGGGATTCGAAATCGGGTGCGGTACCCGCTCGGCCACGACGACGTGAGGAAAGCAACACTGTTGAGGGAAGGCGAGGCGCCACGACGAGACGAGTGAGACACGGAAGACGCCAGACATTCGGGACATTCAGACTTGAGGCCGCCGCCGGCGTGCTGGCTGGCTCCTGAAGTGTGCGCCGGGGCGTCGATCCCTCCCCGTCCCTGGGGACACCCGCCCTTCAGCCTTGCGTGCACGTCGGGCAGGCGGGAGAGGCGGGAGCACCGGGACCGGGAATCAAAGCGGAGCGATGACGAGCTCCAAAACACAAAGTTCTAAAAAATGTTACGAGCCCCTTTTGTTTGGTGGGCGCGCTGCGATGCTGCAGCGTTTTGGAACTTGGGACACACACTGGCTTCTGGATCGTCACTGTTCCCGGTACGCCGGCACGGCACGGCACCCGCATTGTGCTTTGTTGACAAAATAGATGGGCGACGCGGCGACGCGGCACACACGTGGTGCTCCAGGAATCCGGCCGCCCCGGTTCGCCCTTCGTTTGCACTCCGCGAACTGAGTCGTCATCGTGCCCACCTGACGTGCTCCTGGGGGTTGGGCTGGTGCACCCAGGCCCGCAGCTGGCTGCCGGTCAGCGGCTCCTCCTTGAGGGCGGTGGTGCCGACGCGGTGGTGGTGGTCCCGGTGGGCGTCCCGGTGCGCGTCGCGGTGCGCCGGGTGGTGGGCGTCCAGGCCGAACGGCAGGTGGCCCTGGTGGTGGCCCAGCATGCCGTGGTGGGCGTCGTACAGCTTGCGGCCCCACGGCTCCAGGGCCTCCATGGCCCCCACGGCCCCGACGGCCCCGACGGCCCAAGGGCTCGCCGGCGGCGAGCCGACGGCGGCGGGCAGGTTGGCGGCGGCGGCGGGCGTCGCGGCGGACACAGTCACGGTCACGGCGACGGTGGGGTTGTCACGCGCGGCGCGACGTCAGCATGGAGCAGAAGACTGACGGCGTGCTCGGCTGGTGGCGCTCTTCGCTCTCGACGAGTCGTGCGGCTCAGCGCGGCGGCGCGGCGGCTCGGCGAGCGCTCGGTGGCAGCGATGCGCGCGCGGGGAGGGTCTGGGGTGGACTGGGCGGCGGGCGAAGCGGACGACGCACTGCACCGCCGCGCCGAGCCTAGACGAGCCTCCCTGCGCCGCCCCGCCCCGCCCCCACCAGGGCGGCAGCATGGCCAGCACGGCCGGCACGGCCAGGGCGCCCCGCAGGCTGCACCGCTCCGCCCTCTCGGCTCGGCGTTGTAGCGTGCCGTCCCCAACGCCGTCCTCGCCGTCCTCGTCACGAGCACCGTCGGGGCGGATCCAACCGCCTCATCAACAACAACAGCCTCGTCCACTTGATGACCTCGGCAAGATCCCCGAAAGTCCTGGCCGTGTCGCCACGGCAGCGAAAATTGGCCAACGTGGCCAAGGTGGCCATTGCTGGCCATTGCACCAGCGGCCGCGCGCCTGCACTGGCGTAATGAGTATGCGGGGGTGGCGGGGGCCGTGGGGCGGCGGGGGGCGGCGGGGGCCGTGGGGGCGCGGGGGGCGGGGCGGACCTTGTTGCGCAGGTTGGAGAGTCAGCTGGGCCCGTCACTCCGACATGAATGGCGCCGCCCCCCCCGCCCCGCCGCCCCGCCCCGCCCCACCCCGCCCCACCCCGCCCCGCGTCGCCACCCCCTCCCCTGGGGCCACCCCGCCCCGCCGCACCCCACCCCGCCCGGCTTAATTAGCAACAACCTTACGAACCCGAGCCTTGACCGTGAGGAGGCGATGGCGCAGTCAGTTGCGACACCGAAAGACGGCTATTTTATTTTCCTCTGGCACGGGTTCGACTTTTAGCGACATCCTCTGCGGCACGACCCCTGATCATCGTCTTTTCGTTACTTTCTGTTTCATAGTGGTGTTCCCGGTGTGTTTTCTAGAGTCACCTGAGGAAGTAGTGTCCATCATAACAAAAGCAAATGGTCGAATTTATTCATTTGACTGTTTCTGAGACCTTTCTCCTCGTCCTTCAATCGGGCCTCGCTCTTGGGGTGGACTGTCCGCCCTGTGACTCACTCACTCCGTGTCCGCCTCTCTCTCCCTCTCGTTTGGCTCGGGAGCAGCGCGAAGCTGGACTGAGAGAGAGAGAGAGAGAGAGAGAGAGAGAGAGAGAGAGAGAGAGAGAGAGAGAGAGAGAGAGAGAGAGAGAGAGATAGAAGGGCCGACGGAGGGGCGGCGAGGCGAAGAGCGAAGCGCGATGACAGAGAGAGGGGGAGGGAGGGAGTGCTGCAGTCCCCGGGGACCTAAGTGCAAGGTAGGGGAGGGGGGGGGGGCGCTACGGCACGGCCGACCGCCATGCTCCGCCCCTCCAACGGGCCACCCAATGGCCACACCACCGGCCTCCCCACCGCCCGGCCGCCCCGCCGCCCCACTCGGCCCCACTGCGGCTCCGCTGCGTCCTTCCCTCCTCCCTCGCCCTCCCCGCCCTCGCTCGCTCGCTCGCCGCCGCCGCGGCAGCCAGCCCGGCGACATCTTCTAGTGCACCTTTCTCGTCTTGAAACCCGTTTCAAAGCTCGATCTTTGAACGGGTTGATCCGCGCACCGCTTCCTGGTTGGGTCTCTCTGAGACACTGCGTTAAATGTTAGGAAACTCTCTGTGTTTCTGGGCCCGCAGGCTTGCGACAGCAGCAGAGTCGCTAAGAGCGCAGCGGCACTCGGAAGTGACTGCGGGATGATCCTGGAACCGGAAGTTGGTGCCGGGCGACGCCGAGCAGAGTGCGTGCACGGTGGAGGTGTGCGCTGGACTGGCGTGCCGACGGCGGACTGGGGTCTTCGGCCACCCCACAGCCACCCCCTCGGGGGCCCCGCCGCACCCCGCCGCACCCCACCACGCCCCACCACGCCCCGCCACGCCCCGCCGCGCCCCGCCACGCCCCGCCAAGCCCCGCCGCACCCCGCCACGCCCCGCCACGCCCCGCCGAGGCTCGGTTCCGTTAGTTGGCGGTCCGGCCGCGAGATCCCGCTAGCGTCTTCGTTGCTAAAGCCCCTGCGCGGTGTGCCGCGCAAGGCCGTCTCTACCCCGCGGAGTGGCGCACGCCCCGACCGTGGGTATAGCCACGGCGCCACGCCGCGCTCCACAGGGAATATTTTTGACTCTCAATTTTCCCGCGCTACACTTTTTAGAGGTCCAAAATCGGAGGCACAGTTCTGCGCATATTGTGTTAGTGTGTTTCCAAGGTCTGCTGAGGCTAACAGCGTCGATGAGGATTACCATGCCGGAAATTCGGACGTTGGTGTTTCGAACCGATCCCGCCATGCAGGTCGTCCCACGCGACGTCCAGTGTGTCCGCCCCTCGCCGTCATCGCGGGGACGTCCAAGTCCGCGGCGACGCGGCGGGGAAAACCCTCGGCCGGTTTCAGCGCGACTCATTATTCAGTCCGGCCGGAATACATCACCGCCTTCTGCATCATGGAGCGCCTTCTCAATCTTCGCGCGCCTCTCTTCTTTTCCCGCCAACTTTGTGGAATTAAGACGCGGCCGCTGATCAGGGCCCTCATTACAGCCACTTTAAATTCGCCGCGCTGCCGACGCGCCAGCCCGCCAGCCAGCCCAAGGTCTCGCCGACCCTTCTTCCCTCGGCCTTGCAAATTAAGCCGGAGGGCGGCGACGCGGCGCTAGCAGGCGCTAGAAGGCGGCGGATGCGCCACCTTTATTTCGCGCGACTGTACGCCGCGCTTGTAGTCGGCGCGTCTTGCCGCATGGGGGCGGCTCCATCGAAGCGAGCCCCACTGCCTCTTCATCGTTTGGCGTCTTCTTCTTCTTCTTCTTCTTCTTCTTCTTCTTCTTCTTCTTCTTCTTCTTCTTCTTCTTCTTCTTCTTCGCGTGCGTGCCGTTTCCTTTTTCAATACGCGCGCGTGTGTGTGGGTGCGTGTGTTGTGCTCATGTACGGCATAAAGTGATGGATCGACTAGTGGTCCCCGCGGCCCTGGGCCTCGCCCTGGGCCCTGCGCTGCCCGGGCCTGGTTGAGGGGTGTGAGTAGAGTTTCCAGGACGCCTCCCGGTGCCCGGCCGCCCCCGGCCGCTGCTCCAGAAGCCCCGCCGCCAGGCCGGCCGGCCAGGGTGACATGATTATGCACTTTTCCAGAGCAGGCCCAAACCGTCGTCGTCCGCGTCCCCCCTTTTTGCCCAGAGTCTTCTTTCGCTTCCTGCGGTTTCGTCGGTTTCGTCGCATCACACCTCCCGCACGGACCACAACCACAGACCTGCTGCTCGGAGTGCGGCCGGGAGGACGTCAAAACTTCCCGGCCGGATCTACACCACATGCGAGTGGGAACTAAAAAAAAAAGTGGCCGCAAGTCAAAATTGTCCAACATTGCTTTGATCGATGTTTCATCAGACTTTTTACCAGTGTGGCGTTCGAGAATTATTGGGCGATCCTGATTGGCTGGCTCCACCTCCGCGGTTATGAATAGCAATGAGTGAACGAGCACGCGAGTGACGTCATCAAGAGGCGACGTTTGCCGGAATCGTCCCCGCGGGGTGGAGTAGCAGCCGAGCCGAGCCGAGCAGACAGGGCAATAACTACAAATCGCAAGACATTAGCGAACACGTCAGTCATCTGCCGCCAGATATTGTCTTGCTATTTAGCTGCCATTCATCTCGACATTTTTTTCGTTCAGATTTTTTGTGTTCATTTTTCGGTTTGTGTGACTGTACTGCTGGTGGCCGGTGGCCGAAAGTAGCGATTCAGGTTTTACACTCCGTTTTGCAGCCGCACTGTCGTGCGTCTCCAACGAATGCTCCTATCTTGTTTGACTGTGAATGTTTTTTTTTCTGCGCACTGGACAGAGTAGTGCGGCGTTTTGATGGCGCGCGCGCTTTTAAAGCAGTTTTGTTGTTGTTGCTGTTGTTGGAGGGCAAAAGTTGGCGCGCGAGCTGTCACCTCCTCGCGGGCTCCTCCATGTGGAACGCCCCGCGCGCGCCTCACCCCGCCCCGCCCCGCCCCGCCTCGCCCGCCCCGCCCCGCCCCGCCCCGCCCCGCCCCGCCCCGCCCCGCCCCGCCAGTAAAGCTGACCAGGCACCCCTACCACGCGCGGCTCGCGCCACATGGAGCCGCGCATCCTCAGAAAGATAATACTCTGGCCACTTGCAGTGCATCGCAGCGCCGAGGAATAAATAGGACCATTACAGGGGACAGCCGGGGTCATTATTCGACGGGCAAAAAATAAACTAAGCAGCGGCGGCAGCAGGAGTAGTAGCAGCAGCAGGAGCAGCGGGGTGCGGCGGCGGCAGGTTGAGGGGATGAGCCTGGAGGGGTGGGGGGAGTGCGGCTTGAGTTATCGCTGATAAGTCTGCCTGGCCGCCTGCACTGGTTTCAAATTTCAAGGCTTGCTGGGCCTGTAGGGGATGGGATGCTCCCCTGCCCAGCTGTTGGAGTTGGCTGGCGCGCTGCTGCGGGGCGAGCGGCCGAGCTGGCTGCCCGCGGCAGCAGGTGCCCCGACGGGGTTCTCGGAACGAACGGGTGGGCGCATTTTGGAACGGGCCCTGTGGACACGCAACCTACGGTTGTGAAAAGCCAACCCAAGGCTGCGAGTCGGAACAGCACTGTAAATGTCTTACGGAGAGAGGCTGCACCAACATATTGTCGAGATTTTCTCCATAATACCAGCGAATTTCGTAAAAATATCTATAAGGTATAGTGAATTCTCAATGGTATGTTATGAAGTCAGCTG